ATGAGATTTTGTTGCCACTTTACATTGAACTTTTCTTTCCTTTGATATATGTGTTGCTGTCTGACATATTGTTTATGTGAAGCTCATAATTGTAACAAACCTAAAATAACACCTACCAATTGTAAAAAACCTAAAATAACACCTACCAATTGTAAAAAACCTAAAATAACACCTATCAATTGTAACAAACCTGAAATAACACCTATCAATTGTAACAAACCTAAAATAAAACCTATCAATTGTAACAAACCTAAAATAATACCTATCAATTGTAACAAACCTAAAATAATACCTATCAATTGTAACAAACCTGAAGTAACAAACCTGAAATAACACCTATCAATTGTAACAAACCTGAAATAAAACCTATCAATTGTAACAAACCTAAAATAAAACCTATCAATTGTAACAAACCTGAAATAATACCTATCAATTGTAACAAACCTAAAATAAAACCTATCAATTGTAACAAACCTGAAATAATACCTATCAATTGTAACAAACCTAAAATAATACCTATCAATTGTAACTAACCTAAAATAATACCTATCAATTGTAACAAACCTAAAATAATACCTATCAATTGTAACAAACCTAAAATAATACCTATCAATTGTAACAAACTTAAAATAGCACCAATACCAATAATTGTATTGCAATTTATAAAGAAAAACATATAGTTTGTCATGCTTGAAATGTTAAGAAGTCATTATCTTTCAATAAGATATTTCTTGATACATCAGTTTTCTGTCTAGATCATATTGACTCTAGAATGATATGAATGGGCTTCAATTGATTTCTGATAATTTGTAATCCTATCAGAACATGCTTTACTGCATACATCTATTAAATCTGACTTCTGTCTTAAGGTTTGACTTTGATGAATGTTTTAAGAAATATTCGTCTCTGAGGCAATTCTATATTTGATATTGGTGCCAATAGCTTGTTGTTCAAAATAGCTTGAAATTTCACATGAAAATGATAAAGACTCTCTTAACTTGTCAAGTTTTGATCGATCTTCTTCAAATTTGATGAATAAAGATTTTTAAATCTGAATCTGGCTTCTGTTTCTAATTGTAAAAATTGTCCATGAAAATTTGTCATTCATGTATGTGTAATAGTTGTTATACAAGACTTTGGAATAGAAACTCTGCCTCTGCATTGGGAACACCATTGTGAACTTGTTCAAACATAAAATGTATTTACCGGACACTAAACTTTAATTATCACTTTCAAAAGATTATGCCTAGAGTAAGGTAAGGTATTGACAGAGTAAAATAATGTACTTATGTGTGGGAAACTAAAAAATTATTAATCAATGATATTGAATTCTGACTCATTTATTACGAAACCTATTGATTAAATTATACATAGCATTGACACAGAATGTGGGAGGGGATTTTGTGGGAAAGATTCAGAACAACATTATAATTTTTTGACAGAAACTGGTCTGATGTTTTCTTTACATGACTTGGATATGAAATACTTATTGACACAGTTACTTTTAATGAGAGTTAAATCCAAGTACACTTCCACTTATATACAAAATTATAGTAGTCACTGAACAGAAGCAAGAACATTCTAAAGACCTCAAACTTGACTAGTAACTAGTTAACATGTTTCAGACATAAAATCCACATCAGGACATCTGTATTAGTAGACATCACTCACTGTTAAATTAAATTACATAGTTTCATATATGGGCAACACAAGATATTGTTAGTAATTAATGATTAAACACGAAGTTAATGACACTGGTACACAAATTAAATAAGGTATGACAGAATTAAAGAAACTTTAAAGGGATTCAGTGTAATTTTGAGTCAACAAATTCTGGAGACGCTATTTATTCTGCTATGAAAGGTTTCTTGGAATAGATATCAGAATTCTGGAATGTTGTTAATAGTTCTATCAAATATCAGCCTGACATTTAAGCTTATTAGTTAAAATAGTGATTGAGTACCAGGTACTATTTATTAGTATATAATCAATAGGTATTAATAAGTAATTTGCAAGACTGATTTGATTTGGTGGGTATAAAATGCCACAGGAGTCATTTTCTAGTAAAACATCTGTATGATTTTAGATCATAAGTCCAAATGTAATGAATGGAACATCAGTTATCAGTTATATTTACAGTGTTTCTGATGTGAGCTCTGTTTGGCTGTATTTGCTGGCATACAATCCAATCTAAACACTGCATCCTGTGATACAAGTATAGTGGCCATTGTCATGAAGTATATACCAGTACTAAAAATTGGATATAAGATTGCACATATATAAAGAACATACTGTCCTTATTCCCTTTTTCTAAAAGCAGAGCATTTAATACCAAAACATAAAACGTCTATTGTGTGTTCTGAATTATTTTTGCTGAGGTCAATTTCCACAGACGGTCATTTATGATAGTAGTATTAAATATATTGTATTATAATATAATATAGAGATTAGAATGTTTTATGATATATTCTATTGATCTTATAGACTACACTAGTTTTTAATTGAATATTTCAATACTTTAGAGAATGAATAGAGTGTTCATTAGGTCTTTATTCAGCCTTCTGTAATATTTAATGGTATTAATATTGATTTTCCAATATTAAGTTGAACATATTAGCTTAGTTTAAGACATTTTTGTGGTCTTAATCTAATTAACTAGTCCCTCTCCAACATGCTGTATCAAAAATAATCTTGTAAACAATCCTGTGTAACATGCGTCTGTACATGCAATGGCTTTTAATTTGATGAAATTACTCTTGTTTGGACAAACTCTTCAGGCTAAGATACATAGCTAAGTTGGTTGTGGATTCATTAATCCTTATTCATAGATTTTGGTTATCTTGGTTATAGCCCAAAACCTTAAAGTTCACAACCAACCATTCTTTCATGTCCCATATTTAAAAGTCTTCAAATAAAAATAACAGAAGTCTTATATTATGACAGTTGTCATAGAAGTTTATATGAAATGATAAAAAATGATATTGATGATAAGGTTTATTATGATGAAGTTAATATATCTGTTTCCTGTGTAGACAGAAGTAGATTTGTTAACTTATAAAATAGCGGATATAACATAGGATTGGGAATTCAGATTGCAGAAAGACTTCTTTGATTACAAAGTTTCCAGTTCCATTGCAGTGTTTGCTTATCAAACACTATCAAAATCAAATACAACCAAGGTTCTTCATATGATTGTATAAGATTGTGGCTTGGAATTGCAATAAGCACTGGCCATGCTGCTTTTGGTTGTTTTTGTTACAAATTGCAGCAAGTATGATATAACCACCAGCAGAAAATATTCAAAAATGAAAATTTATAAATTTATATCATAGAAAATGTCAAATAAAACTCTTTTTATTACCACAGCCTTTGCAAGTTTTATCAGCAACACAGTACATGTCTGTAATAAAAACCATCAGATTCAACTCTATATACTCAGGTTTTCTCTCACTCTCATTGCAGCCTGTCTGTTTCTACCAGACTGTTAGTCATCAGATAGATTAGACCTACAATGGATACCAGTATAGATAGTGTATGGTATTAGTCATTAACCAATAAAAAAATCATTTATTTTTCTAGAAAACAAGACAGGATGTACAGTAACAGATGTTATAATATATATACAGTACCTGTACATTCTTACACCTTTAATTATATTGATTCTTTCTTCTATAATGTTGGGGGCACACCAACGGTTTTTGGCGCCAAACGCAGTCTTGAGTAAAATCTTGTGTTCCTACGCATATTTTCGCCCTTTGGATGGATGCAAAACAGAGCAGATATGTGTTATATTCTATGCATGTGAAGAGATCCTTCAATCAGATCACACTGAAAATATCTAACTTTAAACCAAAAACCCTAAAACAGCCCCAAAACAGCCATAAATACTCATAATAGATTGCATTGATTCAGCATTTCAAACCAAAAGTTCCAAATACAAAATATGTAATATGGATTAATCATTTGTTTTTATCATAGATGGATTATTTATACTTCTATTTCTATCTTAATGAACAACTAGTCAGGCAACCAATAATGTCTTTTATTAGAAAAAAGAAAAGGGAAATTCATTTCGTAGGTCAGAAGTGACCTAGTTTCTAATGATCGTTAACCTACAACTAATATTCGTAAAAAATAGAAATATTATATAAATAGCATCAAAAATAGGTTATCTTTTAGATTGTTTCCAAAAATAACTGACAAAGTACAATTTTTATCTGGAATAAGAATTATTCTTGACATATGATATTACTGTGGTGATTTTGGAATCTACCTAATCTGAAGGAATCTACAAAAATCAATGTATCTTGAAATTACTTTGAAAATTACTGGGTCACTTTGACCTGTATCTTGATCTTGTCTAGAAAGAAAGTGTTTGATAAGGCTTAAAAAATATTCTAGTCCCTTTGATGTTGATAAATGAAATTATATTAGCAAGAATGATAAATACTACTTGAAATGTCTAAACCAGCAGGGTTGCTTTTTAAGATATCTCTTCTCATATGATATGAATAAGAAGAATTTGTAACCTAGGTTAGATGGCATCTGATAGCTCATTAAGGAAGTTAGATTTTTTTACCTTCACTGACTAGAGATAGAGACCATTAACTTCTTCAGTCTTCAAATTACTTTTTCTTTTCATCATCATTCTACTTTCAGACATCTTAAAGTGGACGACAGGACTGATGTTGAAAATCTTTTTTTTTTTCAAAATATTAAATAGCATGTAAACATTATATCTGCAAAATGTCAAGGTATTACAAACTTCATCTTATACCTTGATTGCAATAACCACCTTTCTTGTATCATAGAATGCAGCGATTTGATTGGATTGTATACCAGCAAATACAGCCAATCATAACCATCAACAAGAATGGTGGCTATTGCAGTCAAGGTATAAAATACAGTTCGTAATAGCTTGATATTGTGAAGATGGAAAACATGTATCTCAAAAAAATGCTGAAATACATAAGCAAACATTCGCCCATTGAATTTCTATCTGTTCTGCTTCCAGCTTTTAGTTTTGCATAATGACGGCATTACAAACAAAATTGTTTAGGTATATTTTCAGAAGTAAAATAACAGCAACCTTATGTCCTCAACAAATTTTGATTTATGTAAAATTAAGTCTGTTAGCCACTTTAAACATCTTGAATTACATTTAAAATGAACAAAAAACACTGCAGCTAGATAATTCTGTTATAGCAGATAAAATTACCACACCAGTCTCTCATTACTGTTAATGATTTATGTTGCATGGCAATGTTCAACCATCAGGAGAAATTTATGTGCATTACGTATCTGATAAGCATGTTAATCAAGTTGATAGGTTAAACTCAGGGGAAAAACCAAGGTTATTTCTAAATTGTAGGTTATTCAGTTAGGGAGGTGGGGTTTAAACAGAGGTTATATTTTAACTGAGTCTATTAAATAATTTTTCTCCTTGTGTGGTAATATAAAACATTGTCCATTTTGATATTTTTGTTTAGGCTATACTCAACAACAAAATATTCTTAGTAAGAGATACAGATGGTTTGTTGAAATAAGGAAGAACTTATTGAAGTAAATCAGGGGTTAATATTAGCACTAGCTCCGTCCCTAACCATGGACAATGATGCCAGGATTCCTTCTATCTGTTTTTTAAAAAACAGAAATATCAACCTACATGCTTAGATATGCTTAGATTAACAGATAATTTGAATTTGCATTAAAAACACAATATTCACCCTATATGTCATCATATTAGTTTAATGTGTTGAGTTAAAATCGTAGTGCATTATAAATTAGTACTTAAACCATATTTAACATTCCTGAATTTAAAAGTATATTTGTATATGGAAATCAGAAATGTTAATGATCAATGAAAAACTGTGATATGAGATAATGAATGTGTAAAATCTATTTAAATCTGTCTGAAACTGCCCTTATTGAGTATTATAATTCCCAATTTCTTTATCTAATCTAATAAGTTTATTAATTGTCAGTGAGTGCTGGACAGCACTCAAGATGTTCTTGAAAAGTAATTTGTGTGCTATATCAAAGCTGGATTAAGGTATCACACTTTGAAATTAAGATCAAGTCATTAATCAATAATGTAAAGTTGTAGGATGCATACAAACAAAACAAAGGTGGATTTTGAAATTCACTGTTAATTAATAGTGACCCCAGGGTTACTAGGTGAACATAAAAATATTTGGGTTTCTCAAGTAATTGGATTTTAATTGTATTATGACTAATTCTCAAAAGATAAAAGACTTCACTGACAGACACACTAGAGATTAAATAGAGAAATAATGTGGTTTCAAATTACCCTTTGTTAGTCTTTAGTGAAAGGTAATTGACATGCCAAATCATTGTGAAAAGATACCTTTATAGCTTCATTCTTTTAATCTTTTAAAGTTAGATTACCACTAAACATAAAAAAAAATCTGTTGATTAGATATCAATTAAGAACTTCTCAATGAGGTACATATGTTCAGTTCAGTTTTGAGAATTATTGACCTGTTAAGAAGTTATAGTTCTGTATATTATTCATGAAACATTCAATAAATGGAGTCTGCAGTAGTGGTCTATAATGAGATAAACAATGAAGTAGGAATCTATCTTGAAATCTGAGTTTCTTTTGAACAATGATTACCTGTGATTATAAAGAAGATGGGTTTGATTATAGATTGATTGAAATGTGATTAAAATGTTACCTGATAGGTTTTATTAGAAGCAGTAAAGATAGAGTGTTATCTTCCATTTTAACGGGTTAATTGCCTATTATACTGCCCATTAAACAAAGATTATAGAATGTGATTTTCTTGAATTCAACCTTCTTTTAAGTAATGTACATGATTTGTATTCAAGATGTTGCAAGGCAATAATTACTGTAGTTATACTAAGTAACTTTTAACTTGGTTACCTCATAAACTTTGAATGCATTTCAGACATGAGCTCAATCTTACATTTCATAATGAATAGAATTTGTTCAGAATACAGCATGTTAACAGTATTCATTCTATAACCTTACATTAGATTCTTTCAAGACTTCATAGGAAATAGGCTATTATTTCAATCTAATTCAAATTCAGATTTAGCTGAACATTTCATTTGATTTTTCTGTAGTATCCTCAATGCATCATATCAGACATTATCTGAGAAAATTCTTCTTTATATGTGAAAAATGTGGGTAATAGCAAACCCAGTTTCATCAATGGTATCAAGTCATTTGAAAAGGCAAATATTACCACTATCAATTTTTCTGAAGAACTGAATTATTAGCAGGGATTGGCTGATAAATCTTAAACTTGAAATTCCCATACTTGACTGAAGTATAGAACGTATTTGTAGCAGTTTATATTTTGAAAGATATTTCAACGTTAAAGTGGTATTATCTAGTAATCTAGACTGTAATGTGATGGTTTATGAATGGTATTTGATCTATAATTAATGGTTTTGAGAGATGATCTTTTATCACTGTAAATATTCTGGTAATTTATCACTGAAACTAATTATTTATTTAAAACATGATTAACCAGATTCAAACTTGATACCATTTCTCTGCTTTCTGGAATATTTCAACAGAGGTCAAAGTGCATGTGTCTGGAAGTTTTATTGTGCATCATTTGAAAATTTTTATTTTTTTTGTTTTGAATTAAAAGATAGATAATTAAACTCTTGAGGCTCTTGCAAACAATTAAAGAGATATATGTTTATCTAGATTATTCTAAATATTTGCTTTACAAGGGCATAGAGCTCAATTAAATCTATATTTATCATTTTTCAGAATTGAAATTTTATTATACTATTGAATTTCAGGAAAATGGGGTGTTAGATTTTAATTTTGAAAAGTAAAACAAGTTTCTGAAATTGAACCCCATCTACTGTCATTTAAGATAGCTAAATCTTAAGAGTTAGGTTAGAAAAGAGGAATATAGAATACAGGCCCATTTAGCAGGTTTAAAGCTGAATTTCTACTAGACATTGAATCTTTAAAGTTTATCTCACATCACCACAAACATATAAACACATTGCATTATCTCTACACATTTTCTTGCATTCTATCTCATATTCCTCTTGAAAGTTATTTTAAGAATTCAAATCAGATTGTAACTAGTTTATTTATTGAATCAAGAAAAAAGTCTCTAAAATTTTAATTTGTATTTAGGACACTGATAGCATCTATTCAAACCATTCCAATTCTCAGTCAAATGTTTGTGGCTCTTTCAATTCCACTTAAACTAGATTAAAACCATACCACTATCATGAAGATTTTAGATCAAAGCTGAACATTTTCTCATTATTCTCAATGCATCATATACATTATCTGAGAAAATTCATCTTTAGTCTTTCCTTGAAAAATAAAATCTCATAATAAATGTGACGAACACAGATGTTTGACTGGAAATTGGAATGGTGTGAATCTTGTTTTTAGTTTTACACTTTTAAAAATGTCAGATTCTTTTTGAATAAAACAATAATTTTATGAAATTTTGTCTTTTCAGATTATCTGGTGCCTCGCCATTTTTAGGTGATAATAAACAAGAAACATATCATAATATTACAGCCATTATTTATGATTTTGATGATGAATATTTTTCTGGAACCAGTGAACTTGCCAAAGATTTTATTCGAAAGTTGTTTGTTAAAGATGTCAGGTAATTTTTTTTGGGGTTTCCACTATAATTTCAGTTAATATATATTATTTACATTGTTTAACAATAGAAGGTAAAACCAATGCACAAGCAAACATAGCATTTCTCAATCAAATTGGCTCCTACTTACAATTACAATAATGAAGTATTGCAGCTTATGTTCATCAAAGAATAAGATTTTATTGCATATGTTATATTTTATTTTCAGAAAACGTGCCAAGGTAGATGATTGTTTGCAACATCCATGGATAAAGGTAGGTTAATTCTCACAATATGACTGTGTGTCCACGCCCATTTCACTTCTAAAATCCAGATGTAATGCAATTTTTTATTGTGATTAATTTAAAATTTGGCTGGAAATTTGCCTCATCTCTTGGTTAGTTAGTGATTAATGGGAGATAACTCAACTTATTTTCTTCTTTTACAGCCAAAGGAAAAGCAACATGAGGATGTGAGAAAGTCTGCTGTTATAAATATAGACAATTTAAAAACATTTATTGCTAGAAAGCGATGGAAGGTAAGCTTTTGATATTTGAGTTTTACCTTTTATAGTAAATTTTAGAAATGTATGAAAGTGACATATTGCCCTTTTGAACTACTTGATAGATTTTCAAAGAATTTTTGCATATGATTATCTTTAAAATCCCCCTCTTATGCATTTGGCATGTTCTAGTCATTTGATTTATTGAAAATAAGAATTCAAGTGTTGTTGAATGAGTTTTTTTTACCTCGCCTGTTTTACAGCAATCCTTACGAGTGGTGTGTTTGTGTAATCGTTTGTCCCGTAGTATACAGTTACGTAAAAGTCAAGACACTCTAGATAGTAGAAACACTCTAGCAGAAGAACCTGTAAGTATTTCTTTTACTATGATGCATCACCACAATACATCACACTTTTCACACATTAAAGGAATAGTTGTGTGCAATGAAGGAAATTTCTACACACAACATTGTCCTTTTGTATGAAATGTTTCAATGCATGTTTTAAAGCAAACATTTCAAAATTGTTGATATTTTTTATAAAAATTCACAGATTTTTGCAGCATGACTGTTATTTCATGAAGTAACACAAGTTACCTAAACATTTTAGTGACGTCACTTAAACGTTCAAGTGACATCACCTAAACATTCAAGTGACGTCACTGATTTTGAGATATGATCTGTGTTATTTCAAGAAGCATCGTATAGTATGCATCAATCATCATTGATATATCATTATATTACTATATATATATATTACAATAACATAATGTTGTTTAAATAGTGCTCAATACATCATTTATAGAGTGATATAGAGATACAGAAATATTAAAACAACCTGAAACATGTTGTTACTATGAGTTTCACACTGTGCAACTGACCTACTTCAGTCTGAGGTTTTATAAGTAAGGTAGCACTTGTTCTCTGTACAACAAGAAAGACATATTCTAATGTCTGCATAAATATATTACATACACACATTCAAATTAGATATTGTTCTAATGTAACAGTTAATTCAGTCACAGTTATTCCTGTACATAGTTTTTTGTTTCAAAAATGATTTTTTTAGCCCATGATTTAAGCCCATAGCTTCCAAAAGTAATTCTGGGTGTGTGATTAGTTGTATTCAGTGCAATACAATTCATGTGTTCTGGATTTTTTTTTTATATTTGTAAGAGTTACTTCCCTTTGATAACATATTCCAATGTTATTTTAATGATAAAAGTAAAATGGAAGTTCTCAAATTGATCCATCATATAAGTAACAAAATAAACCTCTATATCAGATTATCAGTTAGATTAAAGCACTTTTGGTCGCTTTATTGTATGAGCAGTTCTTTTGCCCTTCATATCTCACATTTCTGATCATAGTTATAATATTGGAAAATTAACCCTCTTGTACATTGTATCTATATCCTAAATATCATCAACAGCATGAAATGAGCTCTTGTCAACCATATATGCTTGCAGTATATATTTTACAGAATGTTCTAAATACCTAGATCTGTATAAAAGCCATTTCAACATAAACCATTATTTATAGTTTGTTGTGAAATATGATAAGATGTTTCTAATCAATTCAACTAAAGTACATGACATTTAGATTATCCAATAATTATTTACATTGCACTTAAAACTCAGGAAAACAAAAGAAAAGATATGATTAAATATCTAAGTGTAATTCCATAGTCATGGATATTATGAATTCAGTTTCCTAATTTATCCATTATCATGAAAATACAAACAATCGCTCAGGTAGAGGGAAGAAGATCGTTGTTTTTATTCAAGGAAGTTTTTCATTCATTCAGGCATGTATATTTTTTATTTTCTACTTTGGACACTTTATATTTCATTTGCAATGGTCATTTCACATTGTGTCACTAGTACTGCATGAAATTTGCATGGCCATTGTCCATAGTTGTTGTCTGGATTATTTGGTTGATGAGCTTAGTGGAAAACTACAAAGTTTAAAGAATTTTTTATTTTACAGCATACTTGATTCACACCTCCAAGTTACGCAAGATACAAATTCCGACCAAAATTTTTCAATGGAAATTATTGTGCTTGCAAGGTTGATTTAGAATAGACTAGTCAGTGGCATCTTGTATTACAGTTAAAGCATGGTAGATGAAACAATTTCTGGTCCTGCAAATTATTCATCCATATTCATCTTTTTGATATTGACCATAGCAAAAACAAGGTCATAGTGAGATTAGATATAATTCCTAGCATTGAAATTCAGTTTTAGATGAACCAATCAGAAAAGTTTTCATAATGACCCCAGAAGAAAAGCAACTCTAAAACTCCCCTTTGAACATAAAACCTAGTGTCATTTCTATGAATCAATAGGTGGAGGGGCCAAGGAATTCTCATTGGTATTTAAGAATTCAACGTAGAAACCCCATTGATAAAACCAACCAATACATTGTTAGGAATTCACAGTAATGCTCTGATTGTATATTTTGTAGAGAAAGAGTAACATGGCAAGTTCTAGTAGTTGGAGTGAAGATAGTTCTCTATGTGGAGAAGATGCATCATTAGATAGTCCTGTATTCTCAAGTCTTGATAGTCCTTCATCTCCTGGGTTTGATAGTCCTGCATCTTCAACATTAAATAGCCCTACAATTTCATCAACAGATAACGCCAAAAAAGAAAGTTTTGGTTCAACTACTAATACTAATTTTGCATCTTTGACTAGTAGATTTCGGTCACCCAACAGTGGCCTCTTACCTAAAATAACAGAAAATACAGCATTGACACCTATTGAAAGTCCAATCACCTCAGCTTTTGTAGTACCAGTTTCAGATAGTCTTGTATCAGCTACTGCATATATTCCATGTATATTGGATAGTCCACCAGTAGAACAGCCAGTGATCTCAACATCATTAGAATCTTCTATGTCAACAACATCTAGTTATTTTTCATCTAACAGTTCTGTACCTTTCAGAGCTGATGCTTTTTCATATGATGGTTCTAGAGAAGGCATTGTATCTCTTGATACTAGCCCTACAATCATAAGAAATCCAAAACTTGCATCACTTTCCAATGAAGATGAAATTGGTCCCAAATCAACAGCTGAGGTTCTTGTGAGCCCTACCACAATTGAGGATTCATGCAATCCTAAACCACTGGATGCAATTTTGAATACAGATAATCTAGCTGTGAATGGTCCTTCAGACATCATACCGACTAAGGCAACATCTAACTTGAAGAGTAAACCCCCTTCTGATTTTTATAAACCTACTTCTTGTACAGTTACTACAGATTTCCACTATACTTTTTGACCTGGTTTGGTTCTTGTGTCATCATCTGATACCTATACATCATACTATGGAGTTATTATCATACTATAAACTTTTAAAGAAAAGTAGGACATAAAACTCCATTGAAACTTTTCAAAAACCATTTCATTTCATAGTCTGTTCAACTATGTGTAATTTGAATAAGACAAGTTTCAACAGTTGAACTATTTTATTATAGTATCATATGAAATGATATTGCTGTAAGAATTTCTATTCAAACTTTTACCACATTTAAGAAAGGGAGCAGAATTTTATTGTGGAACCAAATTTTTATTTTTAAAACATTATACACCTTTTTATGCTTTAATTGTTGTTATACTCTGTATTTTGTTTTATCACATGTTTTATATTATCATATATTAGTTCAATATGCATTAAAATGACCATGCCCTTATATAATCTTTAAATGGGGTCCACTTTTATACTGCAAGCTAAGCTTTCTTACGTTGTATATGATATATATATATTGATCATTGTTTTGTTTTTTTTTTTTTTTCATTTTGACTTACCTTACATTGATGAGTAGGATTTACTGTTCACATGCTCAATGAAATTAAGATCTGGGAAATTCACTTCTATCAGCTACAGCTGATTGCTTTACTTGATTGAAGACAAACTCAGTTTTCATTCTGAAATTGGCAGCATGAAAAATATAATAAAATGATAATGGAAGATTATGAAAGAATGATGGATGCTTTAAAAACATTTTGATATCATTTTCCTGTGTCCTAGGGTATTCAACTTAGTTTATGATCAATTTACATTCTAGACAAAGTCTGGTACTTGCTGAACGATATATTTTGCTATACTTTATACTTATTGTGCTTTAATTGTTGTTGTTAATAGATATTGTTATGATATATTGGGGCAATATTATTTTTTACACTCAAAGAGTCAATGCTGCTCATTATTTTTTTTTTTTTGGATATTATATATATATTTTATGTAAATACAAATGTTTTTTTATGTAGGCACCAAAATGATGTGCACTCCGTCCTTGTTGACAATATAAATGTTTATAATATTCAATACAATAACAAACTATTTTCACTGTTAAAATAGTGCTCAATACATCAGCAATATAGAAGAATTAAAACATAACCTAAAAAACATGTTATTACACTATGAAATATATTCAATACATGTAGTTTGAAACTTTTAACTAGTTACTTACTATGATAGTTGTCGTCTAGCATACAGTCTCTGGTGGTTCTAATATGCCAGGTTGGAAGTAATATGCTTGTTTCAGACTAATTATTTTAGCTTATATACTTATTATCAATTGTTTGACTTGTTTTTGTTCATTGTAAATGTAATATATCCATCTTATTGTATAATCTTTAAGTATATACGGTATTTCAATATTTTGTAAGGACACGTCAGATTATTACTATTATGTTAGAGATTAATCTCAATATCATGATAACATCATGCAATGTCAGGGGGAATGATCAATTCATTGCATGCCAAGCCCAAGCATAATTAAGATAAAATGGCTGAAAATACAATACAAGACTGAATCTGGCTGTATATTCTCAAAAGGATTTTAGCTCTAGGACAATGTTTCTAACAATGTTTCTAGGATATTCTAGCGCTAAAAACAATTCGAGAATTCATAGCCTGGTTCCTCCAATTTCTTTATTGAAGATATATTTTAAATGTAATTAATTTAAGTATCTCAATGGCAAATCCCACCTATTTTATTTCATCTGCTCAATTTATGCAAATCTGTTTTTGATTACTTCAATTTTATGTAAATTTTTTAATAAAATGGTATTAAAGCACATTATCACTTTATCTAATTTATTATTTTCATTGAAACAGTGCATTATTACCAATCAGGTCTGATTGGAGCTCAATAATGATGTAAAAAATAGGCCAATAAAATGTAAAAAGAGTCTACAAAGGTTAAACTGAAGGTCTGAACTGAAGTCCATGATGCTAATTAGCATTAAATTGTTATTTTGATATTCAGTAAAGTATCAAAACCAGCTATTTTTACCTTGTCATTAAAATACTATTAATGACTGTTTTCTATCATTATATAAGAGAAAGTAATTTCTTTAATGGCCACTTCACGACTATCAAAATAGCACAGATAATTTTAGGTAGAGGGTCAAATGGCTTCAAATTATAAGCCTTATTTAATGTTTTTTCTGGCATATTATTAAATGAAAAATTTATGAAGCTAAAGCCGGGTATCAATTATCGTTTTCCATTATTGGGAATAATGATATTAGATTAGCTAAGGCTTCTAAAGGCAGATAACTCTACAATTGCTGTAAATATTAGCTCCATTGTGAGTTGACTGATGAAAATGTTATTAGGTATCATCTAATAAATATAATTATTTAAGATTGTAGACATCCTGCTGATAGACAGATAATAGATAAACTCTTCTCCTAAATAACTTGATACTAGTTTTATATATGTAATAATTAATACTGTGGTTTATTATGTCTGGTGTGTCTTGAATGTTAAATTTAACACTACTAGTTATTAGTTATTAGTTACCATTTTTCTGCTGTACTTTCATACTAGAAGTTAATCATAAGAAATATAACTTAGTTTACTTAGGTTCTTACAATTTATTTTACCATTGCTGTAATACATGAAACAAGAATGTCATTACTAGTAATAAAATTGTCGCTTTGCCATCATGGCATTTTTGTTAAAAGTGCCTAGAAAATCACTGCAATAGCCATGGTTAGATAACTCATACCGTAGTTAGTGACTTGGTTGATGACCTTGTTGCTTAAGGATGACCTTCCATGACGCTAACTACATAATTATTCAATTTGACCAGTTCACAATTTTTTTTTAATTATGGTGTAGGCTTAAAGAACAGCAACCTCAAAGGAATGATTTTTTAACAATATCGTAAACCATTGTTAAAAGTATTGTTGAAGATGGTGCATAAATAATGTAATTTTCAGCCTCTGCATAATTCATTAGATTACATATCGTCTGCTTACAAATTTGTTTTACATTATATCAGATTAAAGCCAGGACTGTTACGCAATGTTTTAACCTGAATGTAATTAAACTAGATTTAAATTAACATTACAACAACGTAACCATGGTAGCTTTATAGATTTTTTATATCACAATTCTAGACTAGGACAATATTTTACTATCAATCAAACACTCATTACACATTCACCCAGAAAACATGAACTAATCCCACTCTGCTCCAGGCTCAATGTTCAAATTCTCTACATGTTTTCCAGATTAATATTTTTTTGTGTTAAACATGTTCAAACATTTTCATGAAAGACTAGCTGTCTAGTCTTTTTCTGTTTTGATTTTTGTGACTAGAAATTTCAACATCATTATCTTATTTTTTAATCATTGCCATGTGACTAGGTACAAAATTACTCCTAGCTGTGGACCAATGCTCGTGCTTGCTACGAATTAAATTCTTATTTCACCTTAACACTGATATACTGAATTATGCAGAAAGACATATATTTTGTAGCTGATTAGCATTTGAAAAACATTTGAAACATTTGAATACATTTTCATGTTAAATATACTTAAAGAATTATGACCTGGATGTGAATATTCTTTGATCCCAATAATTCACTGGTTGTACAGTTTAAAGTATGAGAAAATATAAGCTTCAAAGTTTCAATTCTTTTTTTAATGGCATAATAAACATATTGATGCCCTTAATATATTCTACATTTTATATTCATAGACAGAAAGAGCACTGCTTTCCTGATAAACACATTTTAAAATCTATTTCACTGTAATTTCATTCCATATGGCTTCCACTGATTTGTAAGAAGCACTAAATGTTATTAACTTATTATGTTAGTGTAATGGTTTAAAGACAGAATTTACAGAATTCTTTGATGTCTCTGAAGTCAAGATAAATTATTCCCATTAATAGTCAATAAAACTAAGAGACAAACAAAACAGGAAAGAACAAGCATTTGATAGGTTTTTCATTATTTATGACTGTTATAAACTGTATAACTATGACAGGTCACATCAGGGTTTGGTATACAGTAACCCAAATATCTTAAATTTCATTATAATCAGTCAGACCAGTCTTACTTATGTGGAAACTCTTAATGGTTCGCCTGGCAAAATTTCCCTCATTGTACGATGCATGGCGTTACCAGACTTCATTATCACCATTAGGTGCAGAAAAATAGGATGTAAAACTCCATTCATTTCATGTCATTGTAGAGGATCCACTACTTTGTAATAATTGCTCTTAATTTTGTCTTGCTTAGGGTTGAGATTTTTGGTCGAGGGATTTGTTTTTATCTAAAAAATCTACAGAAGCTAATATCATTTTGCATATTTACCATTAAAATGATTTATTGCTCGAAAGATAGCAATTTAACATCGCTACAATTATAAAGCTCTTCATGCTAAGTTAGATGTGATGTCCTATTACATCTGCTTTATACCCATACATCTATGTAAATTCATGATAAATGACCTAAAATAATATCTGCTGTATTACATAGTTACTATGAATAATTTCCCTGAGAATATATGTTCAAATTGTCTTAAATCAATTGACAATTGCTTCAGGAATAATCATAAAACTGAATACCTAAAACATGCTGTCAATTGATAAATGTTTCAGAATATTCTAGAACTTTTCAACCAGCAACCAAATCACCTGATGTATTATTTGAATTGATCAGAATAGTTGATAATGTTAATAATTCTCAATAATGTGATTGTAACAGTTTTGACATAAACTGTCCTATATAGTACAATCAACACAAGTTACAAAATATTGGTTAAAATGATTACCAATGATAACATGCAAATTATCGTTTTAACCAGATGTCACTCTGCAACTGATATATTGAACAGTTTTGTGTGCATAACAAGTAAACTTAATGTTATTTTTTTAAAATTTACATCATATTGATTTATATGGTTTGATTGGTTAAACTGCTCTGGTGGGAATCTATCTTTAATGTTTACCACAACAGCTGTTTCCTGAGAGATTT